CCCATGTTTCACTCAGAACTAACCAGGCAAGTCAAGTAAAGGCGAAAAGGTTATAACTCTCCCCCGCAATGCCTTTGTTCCGAGCGGTACCGTTATTTTCGCTAGTTGCGAACTTAGGAATGTTAAACGTTGCCAAATTTCGGAATAATTTCTACTCCTGAAATAATATTCCAAGAAAATTATTTTTTCTATAATTTCTGTCTGAAAATTGTGCTGCGGCCTATACACGCATGCGGCCTATACATGCGTAAATACGGTATATATTTTCGATAAATAAACCAACATCATAGGCACAACTTAACATTCAAATGAAATCTTCAATCACATATCTTGGTAAAAAGTACGGATTCCGAAATATTTTAATACTGTAGTTGCTGTTCAGTGTTTTAACACCTAAAGCGAACAGCGGTTTATATAAACCCGATCATATTAATTTTACCATTCGTATACCTATTTAATAGGAAATATATGTTTCACATTGTAAAGTAAGCAAATTAAAAACAGACAAAAGCAAGAGAGCGCTGCGAATACAAAACAATAATTAAAACACGAAATGACAAGAGAACAGCGTTTCAAACTTGGCGAAGTGGAGCTGCATCATCGGAGACGATGTGGAGTGTAGGTGGTGTCACTTCGTCATTTGCGTCAGGCGTCAGCTGTCAGGTCGTTGCCATGCAAAAATAGGCTAAGTAGACATGCATACTTACAAAGGATCTTTCGCAACTAGACAAGCAACGAAGGAAATTATCAGAATTTTACAAAAACATTTCATTCAGTCCTAGTGTATATTTTATTGAAAGTTTTGTGTAACAGTTAATTTTATAAATTTTAATTGAAATTACCGGATTTTATCAGATACGTAATTTAAGTTCAGGTAAAAGAGTAAGTAAAAAAGTAAAGCTATCGCTGTACCAGGCCGTGAAGGCCCATAGGATTGTGAGATGTTGAGGCTCCCACATTATCTAGAAAATCGGCTCAAAGATGTTGGTAAGGATGTCAGCATTACGCGTCGGTCGCGCTTTACTCCCCAGGAAAATTATTTATTTAATTCCTGGTACTCATTTCTATAAGAGGCTGAGTGAACTCCAGGGCCATAGTGCGGCTGGAAGGATTAGGTCAATTGAAAAAAAAAATCCACTGACCTCATCGGGACTTGAACCCGCGACCCTCCGGCTTGTATATAATAAAATTTAATCGGCAGACGTTTCTCATACATGTGCAGGATACAGAGTTCGAATAACAAAATTATCTTAAATAAATTCGCAGATGACACGTCTAATATGGCAACAAGAAGCTTATTTGAAGGATATTATCTTCTGGGACGTGAGCATTTGTCCCTGAAGATGAGAGCATGATGTTCCTCCGAAACGTTTGGGAAATTCGATTTGACTACATAGCGTCACATTCCCCATGGTCGCCATTATGAAAACCCAATACCGCAATCGTAGGTGATTTTAGATTATAAAGTGTTCTGTTAGTGGTGTATAACGCTCAGAGTTACTGTTTTCTGGGGTTTCTCCATCGTCCCGTATTTGATAAAATAGAAAACACAATGTTTCGGAAACAGATACAGTTTCCGAAACTTTGTGCCCTTTACATCTTAGAATACCTGACGATGGACAAAGCTCAGAAACCCAGTAATTCTGAGTAACCGATTTTATTTATTACAGCGGAACCTCGATACTCCAAACCTACGTTAATCCGAATTGACTTAGAGTATCACAAAGAAAATCGGCACCTCCATAAATTTCGAATTTGATTTATTATTTTACTTCATTGGAGTAAAGTTGAATTCTTGTGAAAAATTATATTGTGTGTTAATATACCTACCTCTCTAGGTAATGAAAGATGCAACCCGGTCACATGATTGAAGGCTAAATTTAAAATGTATAATATTTTAAATATTAAAATAAACCTCTACATCTTTGAAGAAACAATTTTAATAAAAGAAGCGAATTCGTTTGAAGTACAGTAATCCGAATGTTTCGTCAGTCAGAAGACACAAAGACTTTAATTATTTATACATCCACTCTCATAAGATTTCATGGCGTATTGTCTTACTAATTAACAACAAGAGAAACTTTACATTTACTGTAACGATATCTTCCTACGCTGCTTGTCCTGGCCTTAAAGGAAAGGACATTTTAGGCACTTACATCCGTCAAAGACATCTCCTCGTAATCGTTCACTCCAGGAATCCTTGTTTTGCCTTGACTAATATACATGTAATCTTGAATTCTATTGCTCAAGAGTGTCATTTCTGTTGGGGAGAGTACGGTAGCAAGTGAGTGGATCACACAATAATACTCTATCGTGCAGTTTCAAGTTCAGTTCAATAGATCACACAAAATATCACAACACGCAACATACATTAAATCATTCTGTGGAAGTGTATGTAACAGAAGGACAGAATCTAGAAGAAATGGTGGATTAATTAGTGTAAATGTTGATCTGTAAATTGGAGGTACAGTTAATCAGTTCCACATTACAAGTGTGATGTCAAATAACCACTTCGTGCACAAAAATATACTCTATTACACATAAAATTATATCATTAGTAATTTGTATAAATGAATGACACAAATTTTTAAACAGCAATTGTGTAAAACTGTCTTATGTATTATATGAAGCCAATGAATTAACTTTTGCTACTATAGCTGTTAAATTATTTAAATAATTTTTTACTAGAGATAAAAAAATTTAACCACATTATTTATATGATGGACAATTAGACCATATCTATCAAACACATGAACATATTAGCAGCATATATTTTAATAAAATTCTTCAACATTCAACTAAAATTTACTAAAATGCGAGAAATACACGTAGGTATGTTAATTCAAGCATAAAGCCGCTTCGTAAATTCTATTTACGGTTTCAACAACTGTACACGAGTGCAAGCGTGCGTTTGGAATATGTACAAGAGTATAAGTGTGAGCAACAAATGGCTATGTGTCACATAAATTATGTACAAATGTATAAGTATCACGAGGAGACGGTTGTGCAGCACTTGGGCATAAGCAGGTACAACAGAAGACTGTGTGATGTTGTCAGCTGTGTACAATATTGTAAGTAGGCGCAGCAGAGGGCTGTAATTATCACTTGAGATGTGTACAAGATTATAAGCAGGCGCAGCAGAGGGCTGTATATGCCACTTGAGTTGTGTACAAGATTATAAGCAGGCGCAGCAGAGGGCTGTAATTATCACTTGAGATGTGTACAATATTGTAAGCAGGCGCAGCAGAGGGCTGTATATGTCACTCGAGCTGTGTACAAGAACAGAAGCGTCAGACAGATAAGGTTGCTTGTAACTTGAGCTGCGACACTTAGGAGCATGTGTACGAATCTTCGTCTAAACTAAATGAAAGACAGTGAAAGAAGAGAAACGTGTCAACGTGTATAAAAGAACATTTATACGAGGTACAGTGTCGCGCAAACGACAACTTACATCCGTGACGATCAACTCCTCCCCATCGCTCAAGCCGGGGATTTCCGTCTTCCCTTGAGAGACGAAGTAATAGTCGTGGATGTCGTTGGAAAGGAGACAAGTCTCTGTACAGGAGTAACACAAATGACAGAATCGTTCAGTCCCAGTTCGACCTGTCTTCAGTTAAAACTAAAGGGAAGCAAGGTTCAGCGTCCGGGTGGTCCTTCCATCCCAGGATTACGTTCACGATGTACAATATATAGATGTATGTACTCCATTGCAATTCATTTATTTTCGAAGGATATGCCTTTTGTTTAAAGCATTCATTCTTCGTTTTTATTTTAATCGATTAAAACACATTACTAATTTCTGGAACCGAAAACTGTGACTACTGCACTCAATTTATGATTAATTTACGTTGAAGTTTACTCTAAAAAAATTAATTTGACTCTGTTTTTCTGTCTTTAAGGCGTTCTCTGATCATATATATAATCTTAGATAAAAATCAGTACACAGTAGTGACATACTGGGATCAATTAAACCTAGATAATTTCATATACATGGTCAGAATCAATTGCCTGAGATTCTGCTCAAGACGAATAGGCTAAAATTCAAGTGAATGTAGACAGAGTTTTCACCTAGTATATTGTACATCGTATAAGAAACTTCTGGCTACTTGTCACATATTCGCAGCCAGAAAAGAAGTGATAAATTAATATATAAAAACATATTCAAAATCTTTGGTTGGGTTGTCAACATTTCCCACCTGAATGCTGTCAATATCAAAACAAACAAGGTACACACCAAACCAATGGAAGTGTTTCTACAACTACACTACGGAAATGATCTTGCTGCCACACCGAGCGGTAACGAAACTGGACCACTTACATCAGTCAATATCCCTTCTTCACCATCATCCACATTAGGAATTGTGGTCTTGCCTTGGGATACGTAATAATAGTCGTTGATGTCGTTGGACAGTAAACACAATTCTGTTGGGGTTTGGAACAACCATGGTTAACAACTGGGTATAAGTACCGTGCGAGGGACAGAGATAATGATAATCAGCTGGGCTGTCTCCAGTTCCCGCCGGAGGTAAGAAGTATTCATATGCAGGATAATGAAGAAAACATACTTTAGTCGAGAAATAACACATCTGCATTCTTTGTGCCCCGAAAAATGTGTCTCCACCTTGTTGTGGTGGTGGGGCTTGCGTGACTCTGTGACCTGGGGTGCTATGCTGGCGGTAGTTTAACTACTAGTAGGGTCACCCATGCCGGAAAGGATATATGGTATAGTCCACACTAAGAGATATACCCTGCTCCTCCAGGTTGGGGGCTGGGCATGAGGCTAACAACCTCATCATGTAAAAAGAATTTTGTCCAGAAACCTAACAGCCAGCCTCGCGTCATTATGCGTGGCAGCACGCGTTGGTTGTGGAGACGGGTTGTAGAGGAGGCCAAGGCTCACACAGGGCTGTAGCGCCGAGTGGTAGTTGGGTAATAGGCATTCTTTGTGGATTATTTTAATGTGCTGTCAGGAGCTATGATATATGGTTTGGAATGGTAGGATCAGTTTTCAAAGATGAACTGGAGAAGGCTTCAGAGGAAGTGAGCATAGCATAACTGAGGTAATGTCTTGGCATTTTCCTGAAGGTCCTGAGGATAAAATGATAAACATCAGGTGGTCTGATCTAGATTCGAAACCGGCCTACTGCTAGCATATTCCGCTCGGTCATTAACATTCTGCTAGCCTGATCAAAATGCAGAAAGGATTAAGCATACGATTAACAAAATTTTATTTGAAACTTACTGGATTGGTTACTTTACATTTTAAAAAAAAAAAAAAAGAGATTAAGAATGCAAATGTGTTTATATTACGTGGATGCATATCAACGGTGTGGGAGTGGGGTCATTCACAGACTACATCAACATTTCTACAGTTTTGTACGGAAAATGGATTCTGTCATTAGAATCCATTTGGAAGGTGTCGTGCAGGTTCTTGTTTCAGAAAGTGTTATGAATGTTGTACAGGAAATCCGTTGCAGGTTTCAAAGGGAATCAAATCCACATTTCAGCAGGGAGTCTCCTGTTCCCATCTGGTCAATACACAAGACAAGCAACTCAAGGATTCATATTAAAGGTCATTTGACGTCAATACTTCTAAATGAGAAGGTAATTAGTCCTCCCATTAGAAGAATTAACAGCTGCTTGAGTGGCAACCACGGGGTTGACCGACTCACTTACATCAGTCAACTGGAATTCTTCACCATCATCCACATTGGGAATTGTGGTCTTGCCCTGGGATACGTATGTGTAGTCGTAAATGTCGTTGCTCAAATTGCAGATATCTGTTAAAGTTGGGAACAAATGTGATCAAGACGAAAAAACTGCTTCACGGTTTCTTAAGCTGTGGAATATCCATCAACATTCTCCTTGGAAATTAAGATATATATCAGGCATATAGGAGTATTTATCAAATGCACATGAAAGTAATTAGAAGGAATAAACACTTATTTGGAATTGCATACATCATACTCTACAAATATGTACGGTTTCGTTGCAGGTCCGGTATAATTTCTGTATGGTTGTGGAATCGCTGAAGTTAGCTGCACGTTGATCGACTTCGTGATCATTTCTCTAAACTCTCTTGTCCTTATAAAATAGAACTCATATTAACATGAAAATTTAAAACAATTAGTGAAATATTTGAAAATAAAGTTCAAGCATAAACTCCTTTGTTTCTGAAAAAAAAAAACGGTTGCATATAATCACAAATACATCTCAGGTACCGTTTTCTACAAAACTTTGAAGAACAGAAAAAAATACTTTAATACCCCATGCAAATTCAATTCCTTTGTTATTTTTAAGTTCAATAGATTCAACCTTTTGTAAATACTGTTCCTGAATTGGCAGCAGACATATGCTTATGATTATCTGTATTTTGGAAACATTTAGATCTGACTGTTGCACATAAGTTTTGAAATATAGATATCACCTTTCCGAATTATTTCTAACGATTTTGATAATAATAAATCAGTTAAAAAGTATTTTAACACCACACATCTTCACCTTTACATGTGTATTCATTTTGGAATACATGGCCGTCCAAACTAAACAATTTTAATATAAATAATCCAATATTTATAAGGCCTAAAGCGTTTAGGCCTAATATCTACAAATTCAACCTATTTTATACTTCAAGACTTTATAACATAAACTTATACTAAGATTTACAGCGTGTTCTTCTTAAAATTGAACATCTGATCATGCCCCCGAAGGGCCAAAATATGTTACGCTATATAACTATTAGATTATTTATATGAAGCTTGTTTATACTGGAAGGTTCTCATTTTAAGATTTGTTAAAATGCTTGAACGGGACACCGTCCAACTTCAGAATATTCACAGCATATGTATGAGCCACGAGTGAAGTAAATATGAACAGATTTTTTTTTATTGCTAGGGATGGGACTAAGTCCCTTGTACTGCAGCCACTTCTGGCCTATTGTACCAGCCCCAGATGATAGGTGAGGGTGATTGTGGAGCAATTGGTGGAATGAAGATTGGCAGGAGAAGCCGAAGTACTCGGAGAAAACCTGCCCCAGCGCCACTTTTTCCACCACAAACCCCACTTGACCAGACCCGGGATCGAACCCGGGCAGCCGCGGTGGGAAGCCAGAGACTAACAGCTTGAGCTATGGAGCTACTATATGTGTAAGTGTCGTCTTCAATATACAGTTATCAGACATACCAATAGTGTGAAACTTATGTACCTTTGACTCCAGGAACTGAACCAGACATAATCTGGTAGAAAATGTGGTAAGACCGTTCCAGAGCCTGTTGGGAGATGACACGGGCCTTCTCCAGCAGATCTGCAAGCCAAAAGCATTGGATGAGTCAAACATTACTACCCTGACTGTTCAGTAAAGTAAATCATATTTTTAAAACACATTTCTATATGAATAACGTTTTGTGAAAGACAAAATAGTAACAAATATCAAAGCTTTTAAGCACTTGTCCGGACTGGAATTGCAACAAAGTATTTTTTTTGAGAAAATGAAGGAAAGATGTAATATAGTCGTATTTATCTCATGTCTGTACACTCTAATGCAGATTCAGGAAAGTGAACTTATCAAGGAAGTAAAGTTCTCTGGGAGGAATACACATGAAAATTAGTTTAAGAACAGAGATGCTGAAATAAAATGTTTCAGAACAATAATTTGTAAGCAAAACTTTACTGAACTTAAGGAAATTACCCTATAAAGTTATAAATATCTGTAAATAATTGGGATTTAATAAATAAGAATAAAACTATACATCCAAATATGTACTGTACATGAAAACTAAAAATCATTTATGCTATGCACGATTATGTTCTCAATTTATTATTTTATGTTCATTTTCTTCCTTAGTACTCTTCTATAAAATAATTTAATTGATTTGTTTGTAATTAATGATTTCATAGATTATTTTTGTAAGCTCCCTGAAGAAGACAAGTTGATTATATTCATATCATGTTAATAAAGCGTTGTAATTATAAATAGTATCATCCCTACAAAGAAGCTCTTTCTACAGTGAGTATAATTATGGACTTGTTATAAAAAAAATATCATAAAATGCTGAACCATACTTACATGTCTCGATATCGGCACCAGCGAGTTTGCCAGATGGACCGAAGTGAATACGAATGAATTTACCCTGGAAAAGAAAGAATTTACAAATAAAACTAAAATGAAATATGGCCTTTATAAGGTAAAGGTATCCCTGTAACAGGCCGTGGGGGCCCATAGGGTTGTGAGACGTCGAGGTTCCCACGTTTTATAGGCAATCGGCTCACAGATGGCGGTGAGGTTGTCAGACTTACGTGCCGGCCGCACTTTACCACCAGGAAGATTCCTGGTACTCATTTCTGTTCGACGCTGGGTCGACCCCAGGGTCATAATGCGGTTGGAAAATTTTGGTCAATTGAAATATCCAATGACTTCAACGGGAATCGAACCCACAACCTTCCGTCTTGTAGCAAAGTGCCTCAGTCAACTACGCTACCGCGTACTCCGCGGTCTATATTAAGGCAAAATAATTACGAATAAAATAGAATTTTATTTTTTTTACGGTTCCGTTTAATTATGGAAATAATCACAAGTTACTTACGAAACGAGAAGAATTGTCATTTCGGACGGTCTTGGCGTTACCAAAGGCTTCAAGTACAGGGTTGGTTTGGACGACCTGGTCCTCCAAGCTTCCCTACAAAGTGAATAATATGCTTAACATTAAAACATTATGTGATAAATAGTATTTTTTTATTGCTAGTGGGGTGGGACTAAAGTCCCTTGTACTGCGGCCACTTCTGGCCTATTGTACCAGCCCCAGATGATAGGTGAGGGTGACTGTGGAGCAATTGGCAGAATGAAGATTGGCAGGGGAAACCGAAGTACTAGGAGAAAACCTGCCCCAGCGCCACTTTGTCCACCACAAATCCCACTTTATCAAACCCGTTATCGAACCCGGGCCCCCGCAGTGGGGTGATAAGTGGTAACAAAATAATAATTTTAAGTAATAAAATTATACTCTCTATAAATTTATGTTACGTAATGAAATCAAATCAAGGGGGTTATGTGGGCCGGATATTAGCATGAAATGGAAAGAAGGGAAATTCTTACGAAATTTTCGCAATGCTAAAGAATGGGATACAATTTTGTCTTCTGTTTTCGGGTCAGTTCTAAATCTCACCTTCTTCTGGGAGGCCTCGTCCTTCTTCTGACTGGCGCCCACAGTGGCGAAATACGCAATTACTTTCTTCGTGTTCTCAGTCTTACCGGCTCCAGACTCGCCACTGTGGACAAAGATACAGGTTCAGTACACGTCACAGATGTATGGTTCATCGGCGACAAGTATTCTGATTGCAGTCATCTGTGATGTGATGACGTCACATCAGCAGGCTAAGTTAGCAGTAGCTGAACAGAGGGTTAAGGGGGACGGTGCTTCTAGCTTCAGAACACCACCGTCCTCGTTACCGAATTCAGGGACAGGGCGTGCATAATAAGAGAGTCTGGGCTCGAGCCCAGCAGTAAGAGTATGAAGAGGAACAAAGGGAATAGGTACATATCTACAAAATTACATATTTAAAGGAAGATGGAAGCAATTACTTCCCCCGAAACACTGGTACCCACCATCACATTACTGACTACATTTTCATCAGATGTTGGAGTCAATATGTTCCTTCGAAACATTTGTGACAGATTACAGTAAACTGAGTCCACTATTATCTGAAGAAGAATGGAGTATATTCCTCCTAAATGCTGGTACACGCCTATCAGACTGTATGGTGTCACAACCCAGAAAATCAAAATATGAATTGTCGCTGCCGTGAAAATCTGAAAACTTCCTGAAATCTCTCACTGATTAATTATGCATCTTAATCACAGAGCTATGCATTATTGTTATAAAGGGTAAAGCTAACCCTGTGACAGGCACATAGGGTTCTGAGATGTCAGGGCTCCTACATTTTCTCTAGACAATTGGCTCACAGATGGCGGTAAGGTTGTCAGCCTGAAGAGCCGGCCGCCCTTTCCCCCCAGGAAGATCCCAGGTACTCATTTATGTTAGAGGCTGAGCCGACCCCAGGGCCATATTGCGACTGGAAGGATTAGGTTAATTGGAAAAAAATCCACTTCATCGGGAATCGAACTCGCGCCATTCCGGCTTGTAGTATAGTGCCTCAACAAACTGCGCTACCGCGTGCCCCTGCTCTTGATTTCAAGTGATAGATAAGCTGACAGAATTTTCCATGTATTTATTTTGAATTTTATATCAACAGTTGAAATACAATTTGAAACCTTTTATTTATAGACTAGTTTGCTAACAAAATGGCCTACCTCATCATGTCCACTATGCTACAAGCTGGAAGGTTGCGGGTTCGAGTCTCGACTAAATTGATTTTTTTTTTCAATTTACCTAGTACTTCCAGCCGCACTATGGCCCTGGGGTCGACTAAGTCTCTAACAGAAATGAGTACCAGGAATCTTCGTGGGGGTTAAAGGGCGATTGCGCACGTAAGACTGACAACCTTAACCCCATCTATGAGCCGATTTTCTAAAGAGAATGTGGTAGCCTCGACGTCTCACAACCCTATGGGCCTCCACGGCATGCTACAGGGATAGCGTTGCTTTTTGTATCATCATGTTATGTAATATTTATTTCGTCAGACAATAGATATAAATAATATGCAGCATATAAGTTATTTAGAATTATTCGTAAATTTCCTACTTCATTATGATTCAAAATCATAATTATTTTTGATGTACTATTCTAATGGAGATATACAGCCTAGTAGTGACACTTACGTGATCAACATGGACTGATTCTCACGATCTGTAAGCAAATGAGAAATTAAGAAAAATAAATATTGCTGATATGAATAATTAGGACCTTGCCTATCCAAATTCTGATAAATTGTTCCATACAATATTTCTGAGATTCGGTAATGTGACATGGAATTAATTTGGCATTAAAGTTACATTTGTTTAATTAATGTTATATATATGGAATAATACAAGTATATCAGTTATCTGAAGTGAAAAATTATAAGTTAAGACTGAAACACTAATTTAAAAATATTGTAATAATACAATCCTTTACATTTTATTTTAGTAAAAAGTGAATAAAATAAAATAATATGCTTTACTTTTCGTGGGGAAAAACTATGCTCTATCTTATTTTATGTACTAAAATATTCAAAATTAAAAACACAATATGATTTAATTTTTCGTAAAATGAAATAGGCATGTGCTTTAAATTTGATACCGTATTTACGCATGTATAGGCCGCACATTTTTTGCCAAAAATTCAAGAGGAAAACTGGGGTGCGGCTTACATTCGAAATATTCGAAATCACACTTCATTTAAAAAAAATTATATTCATAATTAGTAATACAGGGTGTAATACTCCTGAAATAATATTCCAAGAAAATTATTTTTTCTATAATTTCTGTCTGAAAATTGTGCTGCGGCCTATACATGCGTAAATACGGTATATCGACATATGAATATCTGTCTATCTGGTTGCGAAGACAAAGGGGTAACAAACCTGACAGCACAGAAACCACAGAATTTCTCTACTATGATATTATAAAGTGATACTCACTGGTAAGCATGTTAACGTAAGCACCGTCAGAGATGGCAAAGATGTGGGGTGGCACTTCATTACGTCTCTTGCCACGGTACAGTTTGGCACACCTCAGAGTGTACACAGGGAAGCGCTTGTAGGGGTTGATAGCCACACAGAACAAGCCGGAATAGGTCTGCAAAACGCAACACACACTGTCAGCTGTGTCTGAGGTCATACTTTAAGATGCAGCTGACATTCTGATTGTTCATATTTTCATACAACATTCGGGAAGCTCAAATAAAATTGAGACAATAACTGATCTTTCATATGGCTCAGATGTCTGGGTAGTAGCAGAAGTGACATAATCAAGATATCAGAGATGAATTACAGTTTAATAATATTACACATACACACATCTGGGACTACAAAAATCAATAATTCTTGTAAGATCATGGACGGGTGAGAGGAAAGCCTAACAAAAGAGCCTAAATTTTTGCCTGCAAATTAAATTTTGGAAGACGTATACAAATATGGAATGAGCAAAGGAAAATGGCGACAGAAGCTTCAATCCAATTCCTTATATTTCCTAATGATAATGAATGACATTTGAGATGATAAGTTTTCACAGCGGTGAACATCCATTTTGTGGTCTACTGATTTATGACGTGTAGTCTGGTAGGTGGTTATTAATGTTTCTAAAGAATATACAGCCTCCTTATTCCTGAAGATGTCGTAACTCAGAAAGATCGCGACGGCGTGTTCGGCGGAAACGTTGGTACCAACTTAGGAGACTAGAATTTTCCGTGAATTTCAATGTACTTCCCTGTAGATACGATATTATGAGCATGTAACTAGGTAAAATTTACGATTTTCATCTTTCCTGATGCCATCGTGAACCTCAGATAGGGAGTATATAACTTACTTACTTACTTACTTACTTACTTACTTACTTACTTACTTACTCATGGAGCTGAGCCCTTCTGGAGGAGCCACAAATTCTGTAGCTACTCAAGAATTTCCCAGCATTTTATGGAACCTGAAGGTTCATTACCGCGTTCACAAGAGCCCTCCACTGGTCCCTATCCTGAGCCAGATCTATCCAATTCATACAATCCCATCCTATCTCTCTATGATCCATTTTAACATTGTCCACCCACCTACGTCTTGTTCTTCCCTGTGGTCTCCTTCCTTCTGGCTTTCCCACCAATATCCTATACTCATTCCTTGTCTCTCCCATTCGTGCTACATGCCCTGCCCATCTCATCCTCCTTGACTTGATCATTCTAATTATACTTGGAGAAGAGTACAAGTTATGAAGCTCCTCATTATGCAGTAGGGAGTATATAAGCCCAACAAAAACTTCCGTCCCCAACAAAATCTCCTTTTGGCAATTATTTTTCTCGTAGATCTCCAACTTTTCATTTGTCTTGGTGGAAGAAATTATGGTATGCTCGTAAAACATTGTAGTCGGGCTTCAGTAGTAGAATTTGTAGATATTATTAAAATCCGGAATAATTATCATCACAAACAATATTAAAATAATTTATATACCTGTTAGTAAGGGAGAAAGATTATAAATTCTTTTCAGGATAAGATTTGCTTCCATTCTTTCAACACGATTTTCATTTTTATCTTTGTAGTCTGGAATTATGTTTGTAATATTATTATTCTGTAATTGCTTGCTAGTACTTCACCTGCACATACCAGAAATTTATGTGGAGATGAAACAAAGTCCAATGCCAAAAGGAATGTTGTGTGTCCATTTTCAGGAATAAAAAAATATTTTATATATAGCAATATATAACATCCAAGTTTAATAATTATATCACTAATAATATTTGTGAATATAACAGGATTACAGCTTAAAAGGTTTGAAATTTTAATTGCTTAAATCGTATCTAAATTTACTATTTGTACAATGGGCAAAGTTTGATTATAGTATTTGAGTATGTAATAGTAACTTAAAAGTCATGAACAAAACTGTGTTTATGAAAGGGTTTTGGTGATTATGAGACAAGAAATATGAATGAAAATTTATACAAAAATATTAATACATTTTGTATACGTATTTCTACATTCTAGAAACTTTCCTACTCAGCAGAACTATACAAACACAGAACTAGAGAACTACAAACACACTCGACACCATTCTGAACTCTGCTTGTCATAATGGCAGAGACAAATCTGCTCTCTAAGTATGAAAATCCATTCAGTAACAAAATACAAAATCTCCTAGGAGAGGCAAAGGAAATGTACATTGGAGAGAAGCATCTCCTGAGATACGATGCAGTGTTATGTGGTTGAAATTCACAAACATCTCAAATGAACATATTGCTTCTATCTGCAGGGTGGAATAGTAAACCAAGCAAGCAACTAGCAAGAATCAAGCAGCAAAGCAGGCTCAGCTTACAGCTTGCTCCTTCGCTTGATGGTTTCTTATCGTATCTTTGGTCCTGAAGATAGAAGCAGTAAAATTCTCCGAAATATCGGTGAAATCCCAACAGGCTGCACATATATCAGAAGATTGTTCTATTCGAATAGAACGAAATATACAGTTGTTTGGAGGACACACTCCATCTACTCATCCATCGAGCTAAAGTTTGCTTCTTTGAAAACAAGAACACAAAGCACACAAAAGGTGTAGAGGATGAATTCTGAGTTTTTTGTTTTCTTCCGAAGATTTTGGTCATATTCACCTCTACGTTTAGGACCTGATATATTTCAGAACTTCGACCTATATCCGTGTTCTGAATGTTGTGTCGTATATACGTATAATCCACTAGGGCTCTTATATAAAAATATGCTGAACATAGGTCCTGTTATTTTTCTTTATAAATCAGTTCAATTCACAATATAAGGGAATTGCATTTTGATGAAAACTTCGATAATGTTGCCTTTAAAAGATGACACCAAAGTTTTATTCTATATTCCGCCATTTTATAACGCTGTTATGAGGTTATTTAGTGCGAAGTAAGTTACTCGCTATGGTGGATGTATAAGCATTTACTCAGGAATATAGAAAATGCTAGGAAACCATAGATCAACTGAAAATTCGAATGAGACGAGATGCAAAGCATCACGAACGAAGTCTAATACTACGTGTATATATAGGATTGTTTCTTGACTTTGTGTAAAGCCTAGATTTCTGAATAGGAAACAGAATTTCGAAAATGGGTCCAGTTTTCGAAAATTACTGTTCTGTTCTAGATATTAGACGATTATCAGATGATGGACAAATTCCAGAAAACATAATGACACTGAAAATTATTACACATACCAGCGTCAGCACGCCTTAAACTCGATGGGTATTGCATTTTTAATTAATTCATAATTTACTGTAATCAGACAGCATAATTCACCTATTATTACTAAGATACTATGTCACTATCTAGCCTAAGAAGCTATGAATCAGCAACAAACAAAATCCGGGATTTGTGATTATTCCTAACTAGCCTATGAGGTCACCAATTGGCGTCCTGAATTTATATTCCTCGAAAAATTGCCACATAGCAATAAAACAACTGCCTGATAGATATGATTTTTATTAAAAACCCTTTGGGCCCTGCCCTAAGGCAAATGCATTTAGTTCATAATTCTGCCTTTAAAATAACCTAGTTGTGTTTGTCCTTCTAAAGCTTAAGCCACGTCCTAAAAAATGTGGGGCCCGATGTGATAAGGTTTACACTAAGAAGAGGAGCTGTTAGTTTCGAACCCAATCCCCATGCACATTTACACAATTCAAATATTCGTAACTGCTTATTAAACACATTTTTGGTTACCTTTCAAATCTGGAAGATTCCTATTCCATCCTAAATATTTTCATACTGTATATGTTGCATATGATTACTGGTGAACATAATAATTATACAGAATGTTATTCTATGTAAATGTGAGGAAGGAAAACAAAGGTTTTTTTCGCAGATGGCACTGGTCGGGATTCTAGCTTCACAGCATTCTGGATCAAATGTTCTGCACAGCTACAAAAGTAAGACAAATCAAAACACAACACACAATATTTGGACAACATGGCGCCGTGGTGTCTTGTTTCCATGGGCCCAATTTCACCTTCACATCCTCTGCTGCAAAGTTTCATTTCCTCATGAGCCAAACGTCAGAGCGGTCACAGTCATCAACTGTCGTGAATTTAATTGTAAAATACGTCCGTTTATGGGTCATTCCAAGAAAGGGTACAGCATAAATTCAAACATCAATCTAAGCCGAGTCTAACGAAATCTATCTAGATGTACCGAGAGACCGCGGGGAACGCGGTAGCGTAGTTGGTTGAGGCACTAAACCCGGAAGTTGGCGGGTTCAAGTCCCGACGAAGTCACTGGATTTTTTTTAATTGACCTCATCTTTCCAACCGCACTATGGCCCTGGGGTCGACTCACCCTCTAACAGAAATGAGTACCAGGAATCTTCCTGGGGCGGGGTAAAGGACCTTGCCGCCATCTTTGAGCCGATTGTCTAGAAATGTGGGAACCTCAACATCTCACAACCCTATGGGCCTCCACGGCTTGTTACAGGAATAGCTTTACTTTACTTTTTTACTGAGAGATCATCGGCTTGCAGGGAAAGACACAGGACCTCTATAAATCTACTGGATTTCCTATAAATGCTATTTTAATTTGACATGTGTAAAGTACGTGAGAAAGATGAGGTTCTCTTCATGTAAACTACCCAGAAAGTTCTTTAAAAATACTGATAATAATATAATTAGGTTCGGCTTATTATATTCCTTAACAACGTCCGTGACCTTGAAACAAGAAGCGGACATCCTGTAAAGCTGAAGTGGTCGGAGTGGCTATCACGTTTGGCTCGTAGAGGGAACTGACTTCAACATAAACAAATAAAAACACAAATATAAAACATGGGGGCGGTGTTTCCTGGCACCGGTTTGTTCCCCAGGTGAAATGCGGGAATAACGCCTCTGATAGGTTGCAGGGAGGGGGGGGGGGGNGGGGGGGGGTGTTGGAGGTGAAGACTGTGCAAGTTGTCGGCTGTCAGTTAGCCAGTTAGCAGCTGCACAGAAAATGTAATGCGAGGTCTCTGGGTTGTCTGTTATATGTGACTCCATTTGCTTCAGTTTTCGATATCATGAACTGTGGGGTCCAGGTTCCAACGCCCTAAGTTCCAGATCTGTCTGAATGACGTGATAAAATCGTGGAATTTTTTTAGAATTAAAGAGACGGGGACATATGTTGAATCGAATGGAATCACAAAATGTTCCGTAATAGGGTAGTGTTAAATGGCTTAGATAGTGCCCGAAAGATCTCCGGTTATTTCAGCATTTATACAGCATTAATGGACCTAATCATCGACTTCGAGTAGCTAACTGAGTACTAACTCGGAGTTATTAAACTATTTTTATTTTCGTAAATTGAATGCTTATTGCAGTCATGCAATGTCAGAATAAGAAGGCTAGTGAAAGTTAATTGGATTACGGTAATTATATTAATAATTTATGCCCATAATTTACATTTACAAAAAATGTAATACTATTTATTTTTATGTATAGATACTTGCTAGTAAATTCAATCCTAACTCAGTCATTCGCAGAGCATAAGCTACAGGTAATCTTGAACAGAATTTAATGTAGAAACATAAAATGACTTTCTGAACATGCTGTCTTACGTTTAGAGAGTGAATGGAAAATATAAGCTCGTCATAAGGGGGCATGTGGTAGCATAGTTGGTTGAAGCACTATGGTACAAGGTGGAAGGTCGCGGGTTCGAGCCACGATAAGGTAATCCTTCCAGCCGTAATATGGTCCTGGGATCGACTCAGGTTCTAATAGAAATGAGTACCAACGCGGCCGGCGCGTAAGGCTGATAACCTTACCCCCATCTCTGAGCCGACTGTGTAGAAAATGTGTGAGCCTCGACGTCTCACAACCCTATGGGCCTCAACGGCAGGTTACATGGTATCTTTACCTTTTTAAGCTCGTTATAAACCGCGTTATTGCTTTAAGAAAACCAAGCCTGGTTCGGAAACTCCACTAATGTACGTCTAGCACTATAGAAGTCATGGATAGAATGAAAGAGGCAGATCTGGGCAAGAGAAAGCGAAAGCAAACAAGCAAGCAGGCAGGGAGACAAGCAGACAGCACGGCAGATGTTTGTCGACGAGTGACGCTTGGCTCTCTTCGACGAGCCAAAGCGACTTACGTAAATGAGCTTAATGTAGTATCGTTGTTTCAGGTTATGCAAGACAGAAGCATCATTAAGGTATGTCAAGTTGGACATATCCTCGCATTTTTCATACTTGGGGGGGTTTACTTGAGATACTTGATCCTTCTTGAAGTTCTTATCCTGATGGAGAAAAGAATAACATACACGATTAGAAAGATCTTGAGAACTGGTATGAAGTTCGGTTACCTTGGTGGTCACTTACATAAATCAATTTGCAGTAATAGCGTTGTCGCAGGTTATGAAGGACACTTGCTTCGTTCAGGTACGTCAGGTCGGCCATGTCTTCAACTTTCTCGAACTTTGGTGGGTTCACTTGACAAAGTACGTCCTTCTTCACGGCCTTGTCCTGCTCACATACAGTATGATTCGAAAAATTGTTCTCATTGACATTAACTTATCAGAAACCCAACCTTATTTGTTTGTGGCACGGAAATAAGACTGATCAAAGTATTAAAAATATATCAACATAATCATAGACATCTGCATAAAAAGTTCATAATTTAAAAAAAAATTAAATATTATCTAAATTGTATTGATGATATAAAAAAACAAAATGTGTATTTTTCATATACAGAATTTACCAAATTTATTTATTTGGGATCGTCACCTAATATCATAGGATTAACTAATATATACCGTATAGGCCGCGTGCGTGTATAGGCCGCAGCACAATTTTCAGACAGAAATTATAGAAAAAATAATTTTCTTGGAATATTATTTCAGGAGTATTACACTCTGTATTACTAATTATGAATATATTTTTTTAAATGAAGTGTGATTTCGAATATTTCGAATATAAGCCGCACCCCAGTTTTCCTCTTGAATTTTTGGCAAAAAATGTGAGGCCTATACATGCATAAATAAAATACATGTTTGAAAAGCATCTAGGATGCAGAATTACAGTTCATCAATAATAGAATATTTTCTGCAAGAACATTTCTTGTAGGTGCGTGCCCGCATTATCTATAAACTGAACTGATGATACAGAAACCCAAATATCGTTCCGATATGTCTGGTGTGCGCTGTTTACTGACAGTTTCGAAAATAACAAGATAGTCACAATTCCAGGCCTATCAGGCAAATATTTCTGCTTAGTTTTTATAGCTACAAAACACTGATAAACTTAGATATCACAGCAAACTTGACATTGGCATTATAGATAAAAATGCACACATTTGTGAATTTTAATGAAAAAACGATTTATGGTGCATGTCGCCTTCAAATATAAGGATTCATTTTGTTTGCCTAACATTATTCGTCTGTTCAAATTGTACAAGATGGTATTTATTAAAGTAATATTTTTATTTTCATTAATTTCCATGTCACAAAAAATATATTTATTTTACTAAACCTACGAATAATTATCTCTAATTGTTAGGACATAATTTTTTATATTTATTTCGCCGACGTTCACAAACCAAAATACTTTAAATTATATGGACCGGTTCTTATAGACGATTTGTATGTAACATAGTAAGAATAAAATATTTTTAGCTAGTTCCTTTCGAAAACCCATTTACTGAAACTTTGCCGTGTGCATATTTATACTAAGGAAATAATATATAGAAATATGAATTAATAATATATTGCCAGGATTCGGTTCCTGATATTGCATAAAGAATTTTTCTTACACAAATACATCCATTCGACTGTGTAGCTTACTAGGGACTCTACATGAGGACCTGTAAGGCGTTACAGCTTACAGACACGAATAAAAGGGGTAGAAAATTTTAGAAAACCCGCTCATTTCATTTTACTGCCTTAGAATATTACTGTATTTTTCATTGAAATACCTGTAACTTCTGATTGGAGCAGGCCATACGGCCTGATATAAAGATAGAAGGAGAAGAATAAATAAATTTAGGTTTAATTAAGACACTACCGAGTGAATGCCTCACAGGTTTCACAAAACTTCCGTGCAGTCAGATCCATTAAGTGATTTTCCTTCGACTTTTGCATGGCAGATCTTTACAGTTATAAAATTGGCCGCTGTATCCCCCAATGGGCACAATTCGAAGTCGTCATGGTAAACCAATAAGTTAATAAAATAACAGACTACAAAAATGACAGCCTTAAAAATCCTTTTTCCCCCCTTTTGGCGTTCATTTCAAACGTCTGAGATATACCAGACTCTGTCTTGAGTGATGTGTTCTCTGCTGGGTCATGCTTACCTCGCCATTAGGCAGGTTGACGGTGACTAAGTCTCCTTTGGTGGCCTTGATTTCACCGAGGACATAACCTTCCTTCTCATCTGGCACCCAGCACGCCTTCTTGGCATCATAAGGCTTAGTCTGATCTTGACGCTTCTGCTCAAGAGAGACGAACAGGTAAGGCGTGGGGTCTGGGTCATCGCCTTCTTGCTGCAACACCTTCGGCATGATGCTATCGGTACGGACTGAAGAAGCGGGCTATTGAGACACGTGTGAACAGCCCAGAAGCCTTCCTGCAACCACCAGAAACATGGAACTTAAGAAATTGATGTAAGCTTCTAGGTAGAATGTAAAGTTGTCCCTGTGCCACTATGCCAGTGTCACGATCACCACATACAAGTCACAACACTTCTCACGAATACAAGGAACACAAACAAAGGGAAAACACAATTACATGTCTACAAGCCAACAAATCACATACTACATCAGTACAAGACCAGAAAGAACTCCAAATAAATAAAAACAAAAAGAACTCCGTGGTTTTAAGTCCGCAAGCGAACTATACCGACCGAGCGACTGCCCCTTGTCGGCGAAGTTAGTGCCAACTTTAGCGGATAGAGGGTGTCGCGTGGTCAGCGCAACGGATCCCCACGGTTTTCTAGAATGGAGCGGCTACTTTTCCATTCAAGTAGCTCCTCAGTTATCCTCACGATGCTGAGTGTACCTCGTTCCAGACCACTACTTCTCAGAAAATCTGTTAGCGCCGGAAATCGAACGCGGACCTCTGGATCTGTAGTCAGGAACTCTGACTACTAGACCACAGAGGCGGTCACCCAAATAAATACATATTTAGAAAAGATATTTTTGTAAAATTCAGGGATTGGTGAATTGATTTATTGATCATTTACACACGACTGTGGACTACATTTTATAGCTCACTGACACACACAGACTATTGTCCCCAGTCTATTACGGTCTCGATTATGTGACCAATTGTGACCACAAGAAATTAGAGAGCCGCCGCTAATCTCCACAATTCACAAATCACTACAGAAACCGCTAAGTTTTCCAGCCTGCTGCGTCTTCACCAGCCGTTCCATGATAACGGCTTCTAACAATGGAGATTCTTCAGTTTCACGCGCTGAGGGTTCCACCTTCATAGCCTTCCGTGCAGAACTCAACTCTCAACTGACTGGGTAACCCCAATAATAATCTCTTTGTTATGACAGAGTAGAAAACACCGTTTACAACAATAACTCTATTGTTGTGTACGTATTTGTTGCCGCGGGAACGTGTTTGCCGATTCGTTGCCTAAGAACTTGTTGCGTAACACCCTTGTTTATTCTCATATCTCGTGGTCATTACATAGCAACGGATGTACACGCTACAACATCTACATATAACTACTACACCCAAATCAAACACAAGAAAGTCTTTAATATGTTTGTTTTTAATTTCAGTGAGTTAACATTTTTACAATTAATATTTAATTTTAGAGGGGAACACCAATAAACCAGTATTGCAATTTGTAAATAATGCCCAATGCAGGGAATCCTAACAGGCGAATACAGGTGAATGTAAGCCAGTCAGGAACCTGATGGTGGCTGAATACGCCGAAACATGTTGCAAGAAACGACGAATATATTATATATCCATATTTCCTACTGAAGTGACCGAATGAAATAAAGAAACTAAACCATTAAGATATATGGGGTAGTGGAGGTATAGATGCACCATTCTTGACCTCGGCACTGGATGGAAGTGTGGGGTCAGCTTCACGTCTCGGCCGTTTTACACCAGGAGAAAGAGACACCGTATACACTGGACAGGGGGCTGGGTGGGCACCAGAGTCAGACTTGACGCTATGGAGTAGAGAAAATCTTGTCCTTATCTGGAATCAAACCCCGGTTTTCGAACCCATTGCTATACATACTGAGCTATCCCGGCTTATATGCACATATTTCATTCTGTACATAAAAAATATCTTATTTATTCTTTGGAATGTGGTCCTGCAGCAGAACGTCTCTTGTTAACAGTTCCGAAACATAGAATTGTAAATGGTATATCCTCAGTGAGATAATTGGCGTGAAAAGAAAATCGAAATACTGAGAGAGGGACGTGCCCAAGTGCCACTTCGTTCTCTGTGTATCTCACATGGGTTGCGCTGGGACTGAGCCCAGAACTCCATAGTGAGAAACATGAGAGCAGAAAACTAAACAGTGACTCCGTTCCTTGCAAGATATAATAACCCAAATAATCCTTCAGCATACCAACATATAAACATTAATTTACTATTTTTAATATTATCACAGACACGTTTATAAAATAGAATTAAGTAAAAACATGAGATTTCAGGATCTAAGCTTCACGCAGCGGTAACATGAACAGTACTACCTTCTGGGATATAAAGACGTTTAGTCAAATAGAAGTTCACTGACGTTTCGGAGGAAAATACAGGTCAAAGAGTAAGCTGAGAAAGCAAACAACAACTAAGAGACAAACAGATAAGTTTGCTTGCCGCTTGCCCATTTGAATTACCCTTCGACCATGAAAATGTAGCCGGTACGTTCCTCCGAGACGTCGGTGAAATTCTACGTGACTACACGGCGTCACATCCCAGAATATTGTGCACTTCATAATATCTAAGACTTTCATATCAGTCAATGTTCATGAATTGTGGTCTTCTGTAATCTGAAATGTAGGTACTAACGTTAAGATGGAACGTAATTAATTAATTTGATTCCATGAAGCTGGAAGTAGTATGATCCTCCGAAACGACTGTACCCATCAACAAGATTATGTGGTGTCATAATCGGGAAGACCACAATATGAATGCGGGCACATTCCGCCATTTTGTGTTTATCCTCATATGACAGTTGAACTGAAATTCTGTCTCCCTTTAGTTAGGTGCACTGACCGCAAAACATACTCGTACATATTGCAGTGCCTAAAGCTATTTTATCCAGTAAAGAAAGTGTAAAATTTAAAAAGACTAAATGTACATTCTTTTTTTTTT